TAACATCCTCTGTGAGCTCCAAAACATCTCCTTTTCCCTCTCACTTCTGTTTTTGAAAATAACATGTGAGGTGAGACCGGCATTTTCCGAGATATGTGGAATCGATCTGGCAGAAGTGCTTGAGTGTAACTAGTTTTTTTTTTTTTACACACATTTTTTACTAAACTTTCTAAACTTTTTATTTTTCTATCACATAGGGACAAAAGATCCCTATGTGATGCATTTTTGGTGACAGGTTCTCTTTAATGAGACATTAGGGTCTAAAAAAATCCCTGATATCTCACCTGCGCTTCAATGAAACTAATAGAGTGCAGACTGCACTCCACTAGTTTCTTCACCAGCCATACTGGCTGGGGAAAGTGACATTTTATATGTCGCTTCTGTGTCATTAACAGGAAGGGGAGATCAGCAAGCATTCTGTAAGGACTTGGGTCTGAGACTGTGACTTCTGTGATGCCCGGCTGTGGCTCTTCTCGCTGTGCTATCCTATGGACAACCTTGCCTTGCAGCTTGTTTCTGGGGAACCTTGAACTCCTTTCTCTACCCACGGACTTCCTGATTTAAGCCATGTCCCTACACTTTCTATTAGCCAGATTATTGTGTTCTTCTCCAGCCCGTATGTTGCTCCTTTCACTACTGTTGTCTTCTGTATCTTCACTAACGCTCGTTACAGACCTTGGCTTGTACTGTATATCAACTTCACTTCTGTTCAGGGGCGGACTGACCATTTGGGAACTCGGGCAGTGCCCCTGCCAAATCTCACCCCCATACCCTGTCCACAGTTCACCTCTGTACCCTACCCACAGCTTAACTCTGTACCCCTGTCTATGGCTCACCCATGTACCCTGCCCGCACGCAGCTCACATCTTTACCCCTGTGTCCATCGCTCACCCCTGTACCCTGCTCGCAGCTCACATCTTTACCCCTGTCCACCGCTCACCCCTGTACCCTGCCCGCAGCTCACCCCAGGACCCTGCCCGCAGCTCACCCCAGTACCCCTGTCCACCTCCCACCCCAATACCCTTCCCGCAGCTCACCCCAATACCCTGGCTGCAGCTCACCTCTGTACTCCTCTCCAAAGCTCACCTCTGTACCCCTGCCACAGCTCACCCTGTACCCTGCCCACAGTTCACCTCTGTACCCTTTCCATCACTCACCCCTGTCTACCCTGCTCGCAGCTCACATCTTTACCCCTGGCCAAAGCCGCTCACCTTTGTACCCTGCCCCTCACTCCTCCTGTACCCTGCCAGCAGATCACCCCTGTACCCTACTCGCAGCTCACCCCAGCACCTTGCCCAAAGTTCACACCCTGTACTCCTCTCCAAAGCTCATTTCTGAACCCACCAGCAACAGAAGAATTTACTTTTATGCTAAAAAAAATATTAATGTAAAGTTAAACTTTCACCAGTGCTCATCTCTGCCCCCTCTCTCTTTTCTCATCAATTCTTACTTCTGCACCCCCACCTCTGCCCACACATTAAAAAGGATGAGAGAGCCAGAATAGAATTGCCAGGCTTAGTAGCTGATAAGCTGGAGGGTGGTAGGGCGGGATGGCTTACTAGCTGATGAGCGGGAGGGAGGGCAGAAAGTGCCAGCGCCTCGTGTGTGGACACTGCACACTCCCCATTCAGAGGTGCAGAGATAAAGAGGCTAGTTAGAGCTGAAGCTGCAAGTGCTTAAGTCACTGGAATGAATGATGTGAGTGCCGTGCATTCTTTCTGCACTGTGTGCAAGGGCAGGGAGAGCTGTAGAGAGCCGCCCGCTGGGTTAGCTCAGCTGTGCTGTCACAGGGGAGCCGGGCAGTAGATAGTGGTGAGCACAGGGCTAGCGTTGGAAGTAGCGGAATGCCCATTCCGCCATGTTCCAGCTGAAAAAAAAAAAGCCCTGAATATCTCACTTTACTAGTTTCTTCCCCGGCCAGGAACACCAGGACCAGGAAATTACATTTTACATGCCACTTCTGGGTCATTAACAGAAATGGAAGATCCATTTACTGATCTTCCTCCCATCTATCCAGCGGCACACAGCATGCTGGTTCTGGGTTCGCCGATGGGTAGAACCTGGAAATCCAGTGAAAGGAGGAGCTAAGATTGCTGGTGGGGGGATATCAAAAGAGAAGATTTATAGCCACCTTTTAGGAATAGTTCACCTTTCCGCCAAATCTGTCAATGCATATGTTCACCTTTCACAAAAAAAATAAATAATATATATATGCATATATTTTTTAATACATTTCTATGGCTTTCATTTTTTTTTTACTCTTTTTTCTATTTAAAAAAAAAAAAAAAAAAAAAAAGGATCGTGATTAGCCGGCTCTAAGGGGAGGAAGAGGCCAGATTTTTTTTTTTTTTTTTAGCATCTTTCAAAAAAGAGAAAGGAGCATGATTGGCCAACTATAAAGGGAAGGATGAAGAGGAAGGATTCTTTTTTGTGACACTAAATGATATCTTTATTTTTCAAAACAATCCGTACACATCTATTTCCTAATATCTGTATAATCTATTTTTCTGCCTCCATCTAACATCCTCTGTGAGCTCCAAAACATCTCCTTTTCCCTCTCACTGTTTTTGAAAAGAACATGTGAGGTGAGACCGGCATTTTCCGAGATATGTGGAATCGATCTGGCAGAAGTGTTTGAGTGTAACTAGTTTTTTTACACATTTTTTTACTAAACTTTCTAAACGTTTTATTTTTCTATCACATAGGGACAAAAGATCCCTATGTGATGCATTTTTGGTGACAGGTTCTCTTTAATGAGACATTAGGGTCTAAAAAATCCCTGATGTCTCACCTGCGCTTCAATGAAAATAATAGAGTGCAGACTGCACTTAATTAGTTTCTTCACCAGCCATACTGGCTGGGAAAGTGACATTTTATATGTCGCTTCCGTGTCATTTACAGGAAGGGGAGATCAACAAGCATTCTGTTAGGACTTGGGTCTGAGACTGCGACTTCTGTGATGTCCGGCTGTGGCTCTTCTTGCTGTGCTACCCGAGATGTTGGACAGTTCCTGTCTGATCCTATGGACAACCTTGCCTTGCAGCTTGTTTCTGGGGAACCTTGCACTCCTTTCTCTACCCACGGACTTCCTGATTTAAGCCATATCCCTGCACTTTCCATTAGCCAGATTATTGTGCTCTTCTCCAGCCCGTATGTTGCTCCTTTCACTACTGTTGTCTTCTGTATCTTCACTAACACTCGTTACTGACCTTGGCTTGTATATCAACTTCACTTCTGCTTGATCCCAAACTGAAACCATTCATTATCGACCTTTGGCTTATTGCTCGACTTCGCTTCCACTTAATCCCAACCCTAAACCACTTGTTACTGACCATTGGCTTGTTTACTGACTAGCTTTCTGCTTGATCCCTACCTGCTACATCTGCTACCAGACTCCGGCTTAATCACCTCCTGGTGGGGTGATTCTGAGGAGCACGAGCTTGCACTAGCATGCAGCAAATACTATCTCCACAATCACACGTATATTAAAATTAAGGGAAACCCTACTGGCAAATTTAAAAAAACAACTTCAGAATTTAGTTATGGGGATATGGGGAGTGGGAATCCTAGATGAGAAGGAAGCAAAATATCTTATTCCTTCCAAATGTAAAATCCCAGTGTTCTATTATCTGCCAAAAATCCATAGGAGTTTAAATCAACCTCCTGGGAGACCCATTGTCAATGGGATAGGGTCCATACATTCCCGGATTGGAGAGTATATAGATTTATTTTTGCAGCCTTTGTAAAACAAATGCCTGCCTATTTGAAGGATGGACAGGATATCACTGAATTGATTGAGAATATAGAGGTCACACAGAATACCATACTAGTTACTATTGATGTAAATTCATTATATACTAGCATCAGACATGAAGAGGGTATTGGAGCAGCTAAATGGGCTGTAAAGAATACACTGAGATCCACAGGAGGCAGAGGAAATTCATCATTCAATTACTAGAGTTCGGCATGCTTAACAATTATTTCTGGTATGCAGAGATTTTTGTACAGAAAAAAAGCGTGGCAATGGGCGCAAAATTGCATGCTTAAAAAATGCGGAGATTTTTGTCCAGAAAAAGCGTGGCAATGGGCGCAATATTTTCATGGTGAGATGGGAACATGAAGAAATTGTTGGGAAGGTATGAAAAGGGTTAAGAACATGGAAGAGATTTTAGAGGATATCCTGGTGATATGGAGCCACTACAGGTTTTTTTTAAAACACATAGAAAATAATCCACACGGATTGGGTTTTTCCCAGACTATAAATGTTGAATCAGTAAATTTTCTAGATTTATGTATTTTTAAAGATAATGAGAGATTATATACAAAAACATACTTTAAGGAGACAGATAGGAATGAATACACTCCTACCTCCAGTTGTCACCATTTCAATGGATTCAGGGGATACCGAAGGGGCAGTTTAGTTGCATAAGGAGAAAATTGTTCGAGGGTTACGGATTATATTGATCAATCTGAACTGATTAACCACTTGCCTACCGGGCACTTATACCCCCTTTTTACCAGGCCAATTTTCAGCTTTCAGTGCTGTCGCACTTTGATTGACAATTGCGCAGTCATGCAAGATTGTACCCATATGAAATTTTTATAATTTTTTTCTCACAAATAGAGCTTTCTTTTGGTGGTATTTAATCGCCGCTGGGCACTTTATTTTTTGAGCTATAAACAAAAAAAAATGGCAAAAATTAAAAAAAAAAAAAAGTTTCTTTGTTTCTATCATAAAATTTTTCAAACAGGTAATTTTTCTCCTTCACTGATGTGCGTTGATGAGGCAGCACTGATGGGCACTGATGGCACTGATGGCACACTGATAAACGGCACTGATGGGCACTGATAGGCAGCACTGATGGGCACTGATAGGCACTGATAGCACAGCACTGATAGGCAGCACTAATGAGGGGCACGGATAGGCGGCACTGATAGGCAGCACTAATGAGGTGTCACGGATAGGCGGCACTGATAGGCGACACTAGTGACGGGTAGGTGGCACTGATAGGCAGCACTGATAGGTGGCACTGACTGACTGCGGCACTGCTGGGCACTGACTGGCACAACCACTGGGCACTGACTGGTGCCACTGACTGGCAGCACTGCTGGGCTGCACTGATGGGCACTGGTGGGTGGCACTGGGTGGGCACAGGTAGGGCACTTCTGGGCACACTTGTGTGACACTGCTGGTGGCACAGGTGGGTGCACTGCTGGTCACAGGTGGATGCACTGCTGGGCACCGGTGGGCGGAGCTAGTGGGCGCACTGCTGGGCACAGGTGGGCGGAGTTAGTGGGCGCACTGCTGGGCACAGGTGGGCAGAACTTGTGGGTGGCACTGCTGGGCACCGATCATCAGGGCATTGATCATCAGTGCCCTGATGATCGGTGCCGATCCCTGCTCTAACAACTGCCGGTTCTCGGCAGTACTTTCCTCACGATCTCTGACAGCGTGAGGAAAGTGCAGCCGAGAACCGGCAATTGCATTTCGGTGATCAGCGTGTCATTGGACACGGCTGATCACGTGGTAAAAGGCCGCTGTGATTGGCCTTTTACCACATCACGTGATCAGCTGTGTCTGTAGGACACAGCGATCACGGAGATCGCCGGGTGCGCCCCCAGGGGCGTGCAGTGTAGCCGAGGCTATCTGCGCGTTCTGGGAGGACGTCATTCCTATGACGTCCCACCACAATGGCCGGGGATACCGCAGTGCAGCCGTTTATTCAGCTATCTGCGGGCTCGGCAATCTGAACTGTTAAACAAAGGTTTGTACAAAAAGGGTATGATGCAGGTAGATTGGAAAAACTGAGATTTGAAATCAGTAAAGAATACATGGGAAACAGAAAGATAAAAACACTAAAAGAAATGAGACCTAAAAAAGAAGATAAGAAGCTGGAATTTGCTTTTATTTTCCATTCAGTTGCCAATATGGAGATGGAGAGGATGATGTGTAAGTATTGGCCTATATTAAAAAGGGATAACATTTTGGGCCCATTGTTACTGTCAGGGATCGTCCACTGTCCACTTGCTGACTGTCACATCTATGCGCTGGAGCTATGCGTCCCTGTCAGCCGTGCGGTGTGCGTTCTAATGTGCAGGAGCGTGCGGTTAGGCGCATGCGCACCGGCGTGCACGTCATCGCAAGGCGGGTTATTTAAATCGCCAACACACTTTAGCCTATGCCTTCTGGTCTACAACGTCCTGTACTCCATAACCTGATTATGTTGCTGTATCTGATCTGACCCTGACTAAGAAAGAACTCCGCTTGCACCGACCTGGCTTATCCTTGACTATCTGCTTACCTGCTCCCTTGTACCTGATCTGCTTGGTCCTACCTGGCCTGTATCCTGGTTACCGCCATACCTACCTGCTGCTGCACCTACGTTCCTGCATCCGCACCTGGCCTGTATCCTGGTTGCCGCCATACCTACCTACTGCTGCACCTAAGTTCTGCATCCACACCTGGCCTGTATCCTGGTTGCTGCCATACCTACCTGCTGCTGCCTACATCCCTGCACCGAACCTGGCCTGTATCCTGGTTGCCGCCATACCTACCTACCTGCTGCTGCACACCTACATTCCTGCATCCGCACCTGGCCTGTATCCTGGTTGCCGCCATACCTACCTGCTGCTGCACCTACGCTCCTGCACCCGCACCTGGCCTGCTCCTGCACCCACCTGGTCATCATCACTGCCTACAGTCATCTCAAGACCCACCAGGCACTCAAACCACTCCTGGCTTGGTGCCCTCTGTCCTCACTATCAGGGGCTCCAAGCGGGCGTAGTAAGAGGATGCCCTCCTTTCCACGTCAGGCTCCCCAACCAGGTACATGACAGTACCAGAAGGCCATGTCGGAGCCTGAGAGAGGGGCCTCTCCTCTAGAAGAAATCTGTCAGCACATTGCGGCACTGACACAAGCCGTCAAGGGCCTGCAAGAGGGATATAACCGATTTGAAAATCATTTTCAGACCCTATCTGTAGCCGCACTTTCTGCCAGCGCCACAGCGACATCTGCTCCAACTGTCGCTTCAGGAGCTATGATGAACCCTGCAGTGATGCTGCTGCCCCCCGGAGCAAGGGTCCCCACACCCGAAAGGTTTTCTGGTGATCGCAACAAATTCAGGGCATTACGCAACGCATGTGAACTGTATTTTGCATTACAACCTCGCACCTTTTCATTAGAGGCAACCAAGGTGGGGTTCGTGATATCACTCCTCCAGGGAGAACCACAAGCATGGGCTCACCATCTGCTGGAAAAGGAAGACGTCAAGTTAGTTTCCTTAAATCGCTTCTTCGAGGCTATGGCTCAGCTCTATGATGATCCCCAGCAATCTGCATCAGCAGAAGCAGCTCTCCATTCCCTTCAGCAGGGCAGCTGAGGACTATGTGACGGAGTTTAGGCGCTGGAGCGCCGATACCAATTGGAACGATGCTGCCCTACGCTATCAGTTCTGTTTAGGCCTTGCTGAACCCCTTAAAGATGAGCTAGCCCATGTAGGGGTACCAAACACGCTGGAAGAACTCATTAATCTTGCTATCCAGATTGACCGCCGGCTTAGGGAACGAAGACTGGAAAGGTCTGCCAGCCAAGTCCGCCCTATGTGGATGCTACCCAGGGCACCATCTCCAGCAAACATGGTACCAACTAATCCTACCACACCCAGTGTTGAAGAATCCGAACAAATGCAAATAGGGTTGCTACGAACCTCACTTACTCCGGAAGAACGCCAACGCAGCCGACAGGGTAACCTGTGCCTCTATTATGGAGAACCCAGCCATTATGTACGAAATTGTCCCGCAAAGCTATGTAAGTCTCTGACTACCCTGCCTGCTAAACTACCACCTGCAACCATCAACCCTGCTCACAATGCCATTTCTGTCTCATTCCAGCTTCCGGGAAGAACCCTGCCAGTGTCTGCTATCATTCCGGGGTCCTGCAGCTGCTTTATTGACTCAACTTTCGCCCTGCAACATCAGATACCCTTAAAAGCCAAAACGCAGAGACTGACAGTATACTTGGCTGACAGATCCAACATTAAATCTGGGGCAGTCACCTAGGAGACCATTCCGCTACCCATTGTAATACCTCCATCTGGCCACAAGGAACTACTATGCCTGGATGTTATTGCATCACTACTGTTTCCAGTTATCTTGGGAATCCCATGGTTACAGGCCCACAACCCCAGCGTGAATTGGGTATCTGGTGAAGTGGACTTTAAATCGGCCTACTGCCACAAGCATTGCTTACCTTAACTTCCTGCTCAACCTGTGCCCCTACTGTGTATGGACATTGATGCTGAGGTATGCCAAATCGTTCCTGCAGCCTACCATGACTTCCTGGATGTTTTTAGTAAATGTGGTGCAGACACCCTTCCACCCCACAGACCCTACGACTGCCCAATTTAACTGCTACCCGGGGCCGAGATTCCCTTTGGTCGGATCTTCCCACTGTCAGAGCATGGGTTGGAGGCACTGAAAGACTACATTGATGATAATCTAAACAAGGGTTCATCCACCCCTCCACCTCCCCAGCAAGAGCAAGTATCTTCTTTGTAGAAAAAAAAGATCATTCCCTCCGCCATGTGTAGACTACAGCAAGTTGAACAATATTACGGTTAAAAACAGATATCCCCTGCCATTAGTCCCAGAACTATTCCAAAGACTCAGGTCCGCAACCGTATTTACCAAGTTGGACTTAAGAGGGGCATACAATCTCGTACGAATCCGGGAGGGAGATGAGTGGAAGACAGCCTTCTGTACCAGATTTGGGCAGTTTCGAGTACCTAGTCATGCCCTTTGAACTATGTAATGCCCCTGCAACCTTTCAGCACCTGGTAAATGACATTTTCAGAGACTTCTTAGATAATTTTGTGATAGTCTACCTGGATGACATTCTGATTTTTTCCACATCTATTGAACTTCACCGAGGACATGTGCAGAAGGTCCTCGGTCGCCTCAGACTACACAGACTATATGCAAAGCCTGAAAAATGCGAGTTTGAACGCCAGAGCATTCAATTCCTAGGATTAATTATATCCACTGAAGGCTTTAGGATGGATTCCCAGAAAGTCTCTGCCATCCTGGAATGGCCTGCACCATCAAAAAAAAGGAATACAACGTTTCATAGGTTTCGCAAAACTTTTATAGGAGATTTATCAAAGGATTCTCATCTATCATTGCTCCTATCAACCAACTGACCAAACAAGGGGTCTGATTCTGTTGGACACCAGAAGCTCAAAGCGCTTTTGACTCATTAAAAGGACTATTTACTTCAGCACCCATACTAAAACCATCCAGATCCAGCACTACCCTTTGTGGTAGAGGTAGATGCCTCGGAGAATGCTGTTGGGGCTGTCCTATCACAGCGGCAAGGCCTGAAACTCTTACTTCATCCAGTTGCCTTTTTTTTTCCCGTAAGCTATCCCCTGCGGAGAGAAACTATGATGTAGGGGATCGAAAATTACTTGCCATCAAGTCAGCCTTGGAGGAAAGGAGGTACCTTTTAGAGGGAGCAGCACACCCCATTTTGATCTATACCGATCACAAGAATCTGGAGTACCTGAAGACTGCGAGACGTCTAAAACCCCGACAAGCCAGGTGGGCACTTTTTTTCACCAGGTTTATATTTCACATTACCTACAGACCAGTCTCTAAGAATATCAAGCCCAATGCCCTGTCTAGGATGTCCAATGATCCTAAGGATCCTCCTACCCCTGATACGGTGCTCTCAGCAGGCAACTTCTGTCTTTTACAAACAGACCTTTTTTTACAAATTCAGCAGGCATCTTTAGGGGCTCCTTCCCCACCAGGAGTAACTCTATCCATTAGAGAAGGTTTACTCTGGTCAGGAGACAAGATCTTTGCACCAGAAAGTATCCGATTGGTAATTTTGGGGCTATGTCATGACCATCCCCTGGCAGGACATTTTGGGGTCCACAAGACTTTAGACCTAGTGCAGCGCCTGTTCTGGTGGCCTGATTGGGAGAAGGACTGCAAGGCTTATGTAAATTCCTGCCCCACATGTATATGTAACAAGGGCAACAGAAGCAAGACCTGGGGATTACTGAGGCCCCTACCAGTCCCTGTTCGACCTTGGGAAATTATCTCAATGGATTTCATTGTAGAACCCACCATCAGAGGGATGTTCGGCCATTTTTGTCGTAGTGGATCGTTTTTCTAAAATGGCCCATTTTATTGCCATGAAGGGAGTACCTTCTGCAGCTGAGACTGCCCAAATCTTCATAAGAGAGGTGGTGAGGCTCCATGGTGTTCCAGGGAACATTGTCTCGGATCGAGGGGTACAATTCACTTCAAAATTCTGGAAAGCACTCTGTGAGAAGCTGAAAATGGGACTCTCTCTCTTCCACTTATCACCCTCAGACCAACAGGCAAACGGAAAGAACCAACCAGACCTTGGTACAATACATTCGCTGTTTTACGTCATTTTCCCAAGATGACTGGGTATCACTTTTACCCTTGGCCGAGT